GATGTTTTTAGGAGACCTGTGGGAAGGGCCAGTGGAGGTGAGCCCTCTTGGGACAACTGAACACCACAAAGGTCATTTCTCCCCGGATCCCAAAGCCCTCGACCTTACACTAACTACTGGCCAGCAGCTTAGATCAAATTTCCAAGGAGGAAAGCACTCATTAGTGTAACAGATCACTTCACCCTCAAACTGGAACTTAAACTGCCAAAATCATTACATGCTTATTACAATTCATTGAAGCCTCAGACAATAAAATTGATATAGAAGGGGAAGGGGGTGTGGCAGGACCTACAGGTTCATAGTTGGGAGTCAGCAAAAGTCACCCTCACCCTCCACAGCTCCATGAGACTACAATGAACAGGGAATTTTTTTTTTTTTTTTTTTTTTTTTGCGGGGGGAGAAGGGTGTACTCCTACTATTTCAAACTTAAATATATTCTGAATAAAAAATGGCTTTCCAGTTCTGTTTGGTAAGTTCTCTCAAGTCAGATTTTAAATCGTGCACCCAAAAAAAAAACCTTGATTTTTTTTTTAGCATAAGTCTATCCTACTTTACATAAATAACACACATTATGAGAACAGAATTTGCAGCACAAAAAGATGGTTATTCATGTTCCCAAAGCGATCACCATTTGAGTTTCTTTCAATGGGTGGCTCTACTGTTTTGTTCACAGTATGGTTTTGAATCACCTCAACTTTTCAGAAGTACATGGACTACATACATCAGCACTTGTGGTTTTGTTAAAAGTACCCCAAAGCATTTCAAGTGTACCCTATACACCCCTATTTTGTTAAAGGCAAAATAAATACATAAATACATACATAAACAACATAATCCTCCTTCATCTGTTAACACTGCCAACCATTCAACACACATTCCGCCTCATAAGCCTTTTTAAGCACCCTGGGCTCAGCCCGTGGGATTCCTGAAACATGGTAGCCCTAACACTGTTTTCCAAGGTAGAGATTTCTAAAAGGTGAGATGGAGAAATAAACAATTGCTTCAAACAGTGTGATCCAGATACAAATACAGTCCCAAAATACACCAGATATGAAATCTCTGTGCCAGAAACCAGGGTCACTGGCACCGTGGAATCAAGAACCATTTTCTGTGTGTAAAGTACTAGGTGCCTAGATCTGCCAGTAAGCATCTACCAGTTTCCTAGCATAAGAGTCAGCAAAAGTCAGGAATGAAGCACCAGGAAAGACAGTGAGTTACACAGTGAGCCTCAACGAAGATCTCAGAGCTGCTGGGCAAGGGCTGCCAATTCTTTCTTATGACTTGAAGGTAATAACAGAGAAGAGGTGATGGTTACTGAGCACTTACAACGGCAAAGCTGCTTGAAGCACCTTCACACCCATTCACTCATGGTACCTGTTAAACTTTGGGACAGTGATTATGAAACTTTTTGGATGCCTTTACACTCCTTTTTTTTTCTTTTCTTTTTTTTTTTTTTTTTTTTTTTGAGAGTTTTGCTCTTGTTGCCCAGGCTGGAGTGTGATGGTGCAATCTTGGCTTACTGCAACCTCCACCTCCCAGGTTCAGGCGATTCTCCTGCCTCAGCCTCCCAAGTAGCTGGGATTACAGGCATGAGCCACCACACCCAGCTAATTTTGTATTTTTAGTAGAGACAGGGTTTCTCCATGTTGGTCAGGCTGGTCTCAAACTCCCAACCTCAGGTGATCCGCCTGCCAATCCCAAAGACCTTTTTGTTTATGTAGGTTATATCCACTGATATTTATTGTATTTGAAATTAAAATGAAAAAAATAGATATTAATATATTTTTAAACAATACAGCTTGGGCAACATAGGTAGGCTCCATTCTCTGTAAAAAGTAAAAAATTCCACTGGACCCAATTGTTCATGCCTATAATCTCAGCACTTTGGGAGGACAAGATGGGAAGATTGCATGAGTTCAGGAGTTCAAGACCAGCCCGGGCAACAAAGTAAGATCTAATTTATATAAAAATCAAAAAACTACCTGGGTGTGATGGCACACACCTGTGGTCCCAGTTACATGGAAGGCTGAGGTAGGAGGATGCCTTGAGACCAGTGGGTTGAGGCTGCAGTGAGCCATGTTCATGCCACTACACCCTACTCTGTGTGACAGAACAAGCCTTGTCTCAAAAATAAAAAATTAGCTGGGCATGGTGGCATGTGCCTATAGTCCCAGCTACTCAGGAAGCTGAGGTAGGAGGGTTGCTGGAGCCCAGGAAGTTGAGGCTGCTGTGAGCCGTGATCATACCACTGCACTCAGCTTGAGTGACACAAAGACCCTGTCTCAAAAACAAATAAATAAAAATAAAAAAAGAGAGTAAACCTATTACACATTAAACATAAATAACATATTTATGACCAATAACAATATTTTCCACAACAAAAAAAAAAATAGTGAAAAGCATGGCATTGTTTTACAATTTTGCAAATCTCCTTAATATCTGGGCTTATCAAAGACAGTTGGACTTTCCTATCTGCATCTGTGTTCAATCTGTTATACTATCTCAGCTTATGTAGCTGCAAGAAACTTTCACTGTAGTCTTCTGAGGATGAGAATGAAATGGGAAAATGAATATCTTAGTATTGTTATGAAAATAGTTTTGACCTTGCAGACCTCCAGTAAAAGTCTTGGGGACTCCTGGGGGTACCCAGGCCATACTTTCAGAACCTCTGCCTTATGAGTTAGGAGATATTATCTCCATTTTTCAAATGGGCAAACTGAGACAGAGAGGTCAAGGAATTGTCCAAAGCCATACTGCTAGAATAGCTCAGAGCAGATAAAATGCAACGAGCATAACAGACTTAACCTTGTTTGTTTGTTGCAAGGATTGAATGAGATCATGAATATAAAGACCAGGACATCCTGCTTGGCTTATCACAAATGCCCAAACATATTAATGTTTCCCCACCAGGTGTGGTGGCTCACGCCTGTAATGCCAGCACTTTGGGAGGCCGACGCAGGTGGATCACGAGGTCAGGAGTTTGAGACCAGCCTGGTCAACATGGCAAAACCCCGTCTCTACTAAAAATACAAAAATTAGCCGGGCATGGTGGCAGGTGCCTGTAATACCAGCTACTTAGGAGGCAGAGGCAGGAGAAATGCTTGAATTTGGGAGATGGAGGTTGCAGGGAGCCAAGATCACGCCACTGCACTCCAGCCTGGGTGACAGACCAAGACTCCATCTCGAAGAAAACAATAATAACAATAATGCTTCCCATTCGGCAAAATCTTGTAGAAAAGCTGAAGAAACTTCCCACATTTCTGATCAACTCATCATACATATGACACCAGCAAGAAAAAATAAAACTCCACCATAGGTATTTTCCAGAGGAGGAGCTTTTCCTCAGAGACAAGACCTTGGCCCATTCCTCAGCACAAAAGCAGCCTTTGATGACTCAGAAAGGCAGGGCCTTATTCCAGCCTCCGTTAGGCAAATGACCCTGGTGGACTGGGCATCTGTCACCTTGTTCCTTGGGAAACTTGAGCAAGCCAAGAAAGCTGCTCCATTATTTACAGCATTGTTTTTGCATCACGCTGTATTTACAAGGAACCCTCAACAGACAAAAATGACGCCGCCAGTGTGTGCAGCCAAACCTTTAGCAGGAACCAGCATCTGTGGTCTTGCTGGCCAGGTGCTCAGCTCTCCTTGTTAATCAACTTTCTTAGCCCACGTGGCCCACCCACTCCTGCCTCCGGTGGGCCCACAGGGTGCAAGTCACTTCCCTTCTGTGGATTTGGGAAGTGATCACACACTTGGGGAAGTGGGACTAGTGACTTTCAGACCACCACACTCTCAAAAGGCTGTCCCTAAACAGCAGGCAAGAGAGCAAGAGGAGCCTGAGCTATCGCTTCCACCCAAGTGCAGTTCACCAGATCGCTCACCAGCAGGGCTGCAGCCGGCCTCAGCTTCCATCCTGACCCCCTATCCCCTGCCCTTACACACCCCAGTCCATTCTCCAACCACAGCCAAAGGGATCTCTTAAAAGTGCACACAAGGCCGGGTGCAGTGGCTCACGCCTGTAATCCCAGCACTTTGGGAGGCCGAGGCAGGCGGATCACCTGAGGTCAGGAGTTCGAGACCAGCCTGGCCAACATGGTGAAACCCCTGTCTCTACTAAAAATACAAAAATTAGCTGGGTGTGGTGGTGCGCACCTGTAATCCCAGTTACTCGGGAGGCTGAGGCAGGAGAATCACTTGAACCCAGGAGGCAGAGGTTGCAGTTAGCCGAGATCACACCACTGCACTTCAGCCTGGGTGACAGAGCGAGATCCGTCTCAAAAAAAAAAAAAAAAAGTGCACAACGGGTAAGGTCAGTTTTCTTGCTAACACGTTCCCAAGGTTTCCCCTACTCAGTTGGAACCAAAACCAAACTCCTTATTTTGGCCTATAAGAACCCGCTTCACCTGGCACATGCCCACCTCTCCTGCCACAAACAAGGCCTTCTCTCCCCCGACCCCCCGCTTTGCTCTCTCTAATCCACCTGTAGCGCCCCTCCAGGACCTCCAGCAGCTAGAACGTCATGTCCTTGAAGAGGCTTTGCCAAATCAAAAGTTGCCACTCCACCCGGTTGTATTTGAGACTTCAGAGCGCTTCTTACTATAGAAGTTCTCTTCATTTTACTTGTATATTACATGCTTCCCTCCCTCCGCATACCCCTCCTAGAAGGTAAGCTTCCTGGAGAGCAGGGGCTCCGCCTAGTCCCCCGCGACATCCCCGCGCCCAGCTCCGAGCCCGGCACAGACTAAGTACTCGGCCAACCGGGATCGAATGAATGAATGGAGCCGCCGCGCCGCGTTGCCTCAGGAATCCCGGGCAAGCGATCCTGGCGCGCCCGCACCGTCCCGGGCGGCGGGTCCACCCGGGCGCACGGTTCGGGGGACCGGGCAGGACTCGGCCCGCACCCCGACCCGGCCGCGCGTCCGGCCCGGACGCTCCAGGTGCCTCCCCGGAGCGCGAGCGCCCCCATCGCCTACCCGGGCCGGCGGTTCCCCCGCACTCACCATGGTGGCTGGGCGGCCGCCGCCCCCGCCTTGCGAGCAAGGAGCGCTGGAGAAGAGAAGGCGAGAGGCGAGCGCAAGAGCCGGTGCGGCTGACAGGTGAGGCGCCCCGCTTAGACCATGGCTGCTTCCCACAATGCCCTCGCGCTGAAAGTTTTCAGACTCCTCCCAGCGCGGCTGCCTCCTCCCCGCGCGCTCCTCCCCGCTGCCTCCTCCCTGCGCACACCTCCCCGCTCCCCCCCTTCTCCCTTCTCCTCATCTTCTTTCTTCCCTTCTCCTTCCTCCTCCCTTCTCCTCCTCCTCCTTCCTCCTTTCTGCCTCTCCTCTGTACCCCCTCCCCGCCCCCGCCTTGGCCGCAGTTGCTCCCGCCCAGCGCGGCCGCACCTGGGGAGAATGCACCTGCGCGCGCGCGCGCCTCTACCCCGACAGCCCGCAGCTCGGAGCAGGTGGGCAGGCGAGAGCTCGTGGCCCGCTAGGAACTCCCTGCGCGGAGAACTCTGGGGACCTTTCGCGATTCTGCCGCACGATTGTGTCCTGTATTCCTTCTACAAACGTTCATCAGACCTGACAAAGATACTTCCGATATACTCGCAGAAAAGTGCCCGAGGCTGTCTTATCCCGAGCCTCCTAGGGAGGGAGCAGTTGGCAGAGAAGGAACTAGAAGCGATTTCTTATCCCCTTCTGCCCCTATTTCACTTTTTAAAAAGTAAACTCTGAAGTTTAAGGACAAAGATCATTTTAAGCAGGACTTTATTTATTTGTTTGTTTATTTAGAGACGGAGTCTCGCTCTGTCGCCCACTCTAGAGTGCAGTGGGGCAATCTCGGCTCCCTGCAACCTCCGCCTCCTGCATTCAGGGTGATCCACCCACCTCGGCCTCCCAAACTGCTGGGATGACAGGCGTGAGCCACTGCTCCCGGCAGCACGCCCTCCTTTTAAGAAGTCTCTCCTAAGAAGTTGTGGTGTAGAGAGTAGGTTCTCCAATTTCTCTCCTCCCCTTGACTTTTCTTAAGTCTAGAGATTTTACCTGGGGCGTTGAGAGTCTCTAAACCCCCAACCTGTAAGCAGAGTTTTTTCTTTTTTCTTTTAATTATATTTACCAGATAGACAGACTAGATGTAAACAAAGTTTTGAATGCATATTTCTGTTTTTTTGAGAAAGGGAGTCCACTGGTTTTATCAAATAGCTAAAGAGATCCTACACCCTGCAAAAGTTAAGAATCATTTCCTGGGCCAGGCCTGGTAGCTCACAAGAAGTTCGAGACAAGCCTAGCCAACATGGTGAAATCGCATCACTACTAAAAATACAAAAATTAGCTAGGCGTGGTGGCACACGTCTGTAGTCCCAGCTACTAGGGAGGCTGAGGCAGGAGAGAATCGCTTGAACAGGGAGGCAGAGGTTGCAGTGAGCTGAGATCATCCAGCCTAGGTAACAAAGTGAGACTCAGTCTGGGAAAAAAAACAAAACAAAACACCATTTCCTGGGTGATCCCTGGAACCCCAAATCAGTGAAAGTCCTTCCCAGGATCTGTTGTGTACCTTCCTATGGATGTAGGCCCACCCAGGTGACTGAAAGTAAGGGGAACTCCATCCACCCCTGCATTCACACTCAAATATTCATCACTAGGCCAGGCCCTGCAACAGGAGCCTGGGGGACCCAGCTGGGAACAAACAGGTGGTCTGTCTCCTGGAGCTTACAGTCTCTTGTGGGACAACACATAATAAACAAGTAAATAAAATATAAAATATAAGAAATTCAAATGAGTGCTAAGAAGGAGATATTTGAGTTCCTGGGATGGGCACAGGGAAGCTACACTGATATAGCTGAGTGGTCAAGTAAGTGCCCTCTGGGGAGGTGACAGGAGACTTGGATGTGAGAAGCCAGTGCTCTGAAGAAGAAGAAGAAAAAAAAGTCCTTCTGGAAAGACTTCAAAAAAAGGCTTCTATGTGAGTTAAGTGCCAGGAGGCCCAGAGGTGGGCAGGGGCCAGAGGCAATGAGTGTTCTCTACATTAGGGCATCACTGCAAGCCCCCAGGAGAGCCAGAGCCTCCAGCCTCAAAGCTCTGAAACCTGGACTTGTGACATTCTGCCGGGGGCATTGGAAGAGGACTGTCTGACAACAGTTAAACCCCAGGCAGTGGGGTGATTTCACTTCCTGAAAGAAAAGTGAATCTAGGAGAGCTACTTTTTAACTCCTGTGTTCTCCCCGCAGGGCCTGTTCCTTCCCTAACTCAGGACATCATGCTTTATCTAACTAGATAGAATCTAATGTTTGTGCTTCTCCTCCTTTCTAGGTAACTTCAGGACAGGGCCCATCTCTGTGTCACCATCCAGAGCCTTCTTTTGTAAGGGTTTCTTTGCTAGTGGGAAAGAAGCAGAATTACTAAAGGTGAATTTCAAAGCTAAAGAAATCTCAGGCCAGGCACCATGGCTCATGCCTGTAATCTCAAGACTTTGGGAGACGGAGGTGGGTGGATCACCTGACATCAGGAGTTCAAGACCAGCCTGGCCAACATGGTGAAACCCCTAATACAAAAATTAGCCGGGTGTGGTGGCGGGTGCCTGTAATCCCAGCTACTCAGGAGACTGAGGCAGGAGAATCGCTTGAACCCCGAAGGCGGAGTTTGCAGTGAGCCGAGATCCCCACCGCACTCCAGCCTGGGCAACACTATGAGATTATCTCAAAAAAATAAAAAATTTTTAAAAAGCTGAAGAAATCTTCTCAGTGCTCTTGCCATGACAGTTAAGTCAAATATTAAAACAGGAGAGGCCAGGAGTGATGGCTCACGCCTGTAATCCCGGCACTTTGGGAGGCTGAGGTGGGTGGATCGCCTGAGGTCAGGAGTTTGAGACCAGCCTGACTAACATGGTGAAACCCTGTCTCTACTAAACACAAAAAAATTAGCCAGGCGTGGTGGCACGTGCCTGTAGTCCCAGCTACTTGGGAGTCTGAGACAAGAGAATGGCTTGAACCTGGGAGATGGAGGTTGCAGTGAGCCTAGATTGTGCCACTGCACTCCAGCCTGGCCAACAAGAGCTAAACTCCATCTCAAAAAATTAAAATTAAAAAAATAAAGCAGGAGAAGGTTCCCTTACCGTGTGGCTCATGGTCGGAGAGGGTGTAATTAAAGACGTGGAGGTTGAGGGGGGCAGGTAACTTAAAAAGTATTAGTGTCCTTTGCCTTTCCTCCTGGCCTGGCTGAGATGGGCAGTGGATGCTCTCTGGGGCCTCTGCCACCCAGTATGTTTCCCTCCAGATTCTCACACCATACCCCAAATCACCAAAGAGGGAAGCCTGCAGTGAGCCTCACACTTCACAGGGTTATCTTAGCTGCCCCTAAAATAATGTGTAAGAAAGGGAGCACCGTGGACATGGTACAGGTGAGAGCCTGAGGCTCAGAGGCTCAAAAGGAATAATAAGAGGCATGCTGGGCACAGTGGCTCAGGCTTGTAATCCCAGCGCTTTGGGAGGCCGAGGCAGGAGGATTGCTTAAGGTCAGGAGTTTGAGATCAGTCTGGGCAACATGGGAAGACCCCATCTCTATTTTAAAGATAATAATAACAAAAATAAGTATAAAAAGAAGCTAATAAGAGGCAGGGATAAGCCTAGAATCAAGGCACTAAGATTCAAGTTGGTTCCCCCTAAAGCCCTACTCCTGACAGACCTACTCAGAACACAACAGTGCGAGTTAAGCAGCATTTATGTCGTCACTCATTTGTCTCAGAAGAATAACATGCATTTTTAAGCTTTGACTTCTCCTTTAAAAAAAAAAAATCTATAGAGCTAGGATCTTACTATGTTGCCCAGGTTGATCTTGAGAATCCCTGGCCTCAACGGCTCCTCCTGTCTTGGCCTCCCAAAGTGCTGGGATTATAAGCATGGGCCACCACACCCAGCCTTAGTCTCGACTTCTGTATCCCATCATGCTCCTGTTCAAACTCCTGACTCCACATCAGGCCCACCAATAGCAAAACCCCAGGGAGGACCCAGAGGCCCTATCACTCAAGATGTACCACTCTAAAGAGGAGTTCCCTGGTCAGATCCTGAAGAGGGTTTTAGATTCAAAATCTAATGTCATAGAAGACCAATACAGTGTATTACGTGGTTCCGGTTAGGTTGTTTATGAGCTGGTGCATGTGACTCTGTGTGTGTATATTTACTCATAAAACAATGCCCTGGCATTTGGTCAACTTGATTTAGGAGTTTCACTTCTCAGATCATTCTATATTTAAATATTAGCAGAAGATGCAGAGAGAGTGCAGTAAAAGCCACCATCAAGTCCACAGCAAGGGAGAAGAGCAAGTTAGGGACAAGATAATAAAGTAAAATAATGATAATCTACCAAAATACTAACTTCAGAGAAACTGTGAAAGATCAAGCTGTGAGTTTAAGAAACGGAAAGAAGCAAAGGAGAGGCCAACTTCAAAGTCAGCTTACGCAGTGCCTTCACAGGCATTAATTGAAGCCTGGTCCTGCTGTTCTTTACTGCCCTCTTATTAATGTCTTAAGTAATCAACATCACCAATAATCCCTTCTGCAGCGTTCAGGAATTCATCTTGTCAGGGTGAAACTTTTAGTATGAGGCCTTTTGCTCTTTAGAAACACCCTTTACTTTTCAAAAGAGGGCCTATTATTCCAAATGGAAAAACTCTACTTAATATATTTCTAAAGAGTATTTTCAGAAAATTTTTAATTATAAAATAATATAGGTTCATTGCAGATTTGGAAAACATCGGAAGGTGTTATTTCAAAACCTCACTCTAGGCTGGGTGCAATGGCTCACCTCTCTAATCCCAGCACTTTGGGAGGCTGAGGCTGGTGGATCACCTGAGGTTCGGAGTTCGAGATTAGCCTGGTCAACATAGTGAAACTCCGTCTCTACTAAAAATACAAAAATTAGCTGGGCATGATGGCAGATGCCTGTAATCACAGATACTTGGGAGGCTGAGGCAAGAGAATCTCTTGAACCCAGGAAGCGGGGGTTGCAGTGAGCCGAGACCACGTCATTGCACTCCAGCCTGGGCAACAGGAACAAAGCTCCATCTCAAAAAATAAAAAATAAATATAAAATAAAAACCTCCCTCTAATTCTACCAACAAGAGGCCAGGTGAGCTGGCTCCCACCTGTAATCCCAGCACTTTGGGAGGCTGAGGCGGGTGGATTGCCTGAGGTCAGGAGTTCGAGACCAGCCTGGTCAATATGGTGAAACCCTGTCTCTACTAAAAATACAAAAATTAGCTGGGTGTGGTGGCACATGCACATAATCCTAGCTACTTAGGAGGCTGAAGC